TCCCGAGAACGGCCACAAACCTCGGAGAACTGTGTGTCTAAAAGGGGTGAATATTCTAAATGCAAATTGTACCTCAATAAACTTGACTTTAAAAAGAAACCAGGCAATGTGTTATTAAACCCAAACATGAAATTTTTAAAGCTAAGTGTCAGCCTGGATTCCTTAGAAAAGAACCCAATCAAAACTTATGCCCAGTGCTTCAGTGAGGCTGCAGTTCCCAGGAGCGAGGGGTAAAGGGAAGTCAATCAAGGGAAGAAAGGAACCACAAGGGGGCACGCTGCCCGTCCTGAAGTGGTCCTGGCTGTGGTTCTCATGGGACCTCTACCAAGAGGCCACTGAAACAGACCCTGGGGGAGAAGGGTGAGCAACTTATCTCCGTCTTTCATTCATCAAAGTTTCCCCAGTGAGCAAACTCCCACATTTCTGGGCTGCATTACCAGCCCTCACACACTTCTGGGGAAGCCGGGGCTTCGACAGGTCCATTTGGATCAGGCTCTGCTCCGGAGCTGCAGCAGCCCCAGATAAGAACCCAGTGAAAGCCCTGCCTCTAGGATCAGGCCTCACGCCAGGCAAGCGCGAGACAACCAGTGTTTTAAGAAGGTGCACCCTAGGGGCGGTGGTCTAGGCTATAGGACTGCAGGGAGCCACTACAGGAGCTGTCCCCAAAGAAGTGACAAGCAGCCAAGCACCCAAAGCCTGGGATGGGGGACCAGCTGATATGGAGAGTTCCATAAAATAGGTCTAGATAAGAGGTGATAATATACCATCTGAATTAAAAGAGCTGTTTCATTTTTAAGAACGTCATAGATACATAGAGAAAAGTTGAAGCAAACAGTTTCTACCTATTAATTCTGTTCATGTGGTGATCTCACCTGACCTTTGTTACATAGTTCAGGGAAACAGAAAAAGCTCAATCCTGTATCTTATAATAATGACATCCTGTGCATTAAAACTTAGTGAATTCACTATTCTATTTTTAATTTTTTTACGTATTTTAATTAGTTACACATGACAATAGAATGCATTTATGCACTTTGATATATCATACATAGATGGGATATGATTTCTCATTTTTCTGAGTTTATGTGTTGTAGCATCACATTAGTCACGCAGTTATATATATCATACATAAAATAATAACGTCTGCTTCATTCTACTATCCTATCCTTCCTATCCCCACGATCCCTCCCCTCCTCTCCCTTCCCCTCCCTTCATTTCACTCTACCTAATCTAAGGTAATGCTATTCTTCTCTAATGCCTCCTACCTTATTGTAAATTAGCATCCACATATTAGAGAAAACATTCAGTCTTTGGTTTTTTGGGATTGGCTTATTTTGCTTAGCATAATATTGTCCAACTCCTTCCATTTACTGGAAAATGCCATAATTTCATTATTCTTTAAAACTGAGTAATATTCCATTGCATATATATATATCACATTTTCTTTACCAGTCATCTATTGAAGGACAACTAGGTTGGTTCCATGGTTTAGCTATTGTGAATTGAAATGCTATAAACATTGATGTGGTCACATCACTGTAGTATTCTTTAAGTCCTTTGGTTATAAACCAAGGAGAGATTAGCTGGGTCAAACAGAATCTCCATACTGCTTTCCACAGTGATTATCCAATTTGCAGTCCCACCAGCACATACACCAATGGAACAGAATAAAGGACACAGAGACAAACCCACACAAATACTGTTATCTCGTTCTAGACAAAGGTGCCAAAAATATTCACAGGAAAAAAGATAGACTTTTCAACAAATAGTGCTGGCAAAACTGGAAATCTATATGTAGCAAAATGAAATTAAACCTCTATCTCTCACCCTGTACAAAAATTAAGTCAAAGTGGATCAAAGACTTAGGCACTAGAAAGAGACCCTGTGCCTAATAGATGAAAAGTAGGCCCAAATCTTCACCACGTCAGCTTAGGATGACTTCCTGAACAAGACCTCTAAAGCACAAGAAGTAAAATCAAGAATCAATAAATGGAATGGATTCAAATTAAAAAGCTTCTTCTCAGTAAAGGAAACAATGAGAGCCTACAGATTGGGAGAAAATCTTTACTACACACACCTACAATGAACCATTAATCTTTAGGATATATAAAGAATGCAAAAAACTTAACACCAAAAAAAAAAAAAACAAATAACCCAATCAATAAATGGACTAAGGAACTGAACAGAAGAAGAAATACAAATGATCAACAAATATATGAAAAAAATGTTCAAAATCTCTAGCAATTAGACAAATGCAAATCAAAACTACACTAAGATTTCATCTCACTCCAGTCCGAATGGCAATCATCAAGAATACAGGCAACAATAAATGTTGGCAAGGATGTGGAGAAAAGGGTACAATCATATATTGCTGTTCTTTTATATATATTGTCTTATTTAATCCTCATAAACACCCTGGGATTCAGGGTACATTACTGCCTATTACAGACAAGGACAAAGATGTCCAATCTGCCCGCAGCCAGCATCTGCACTCTGGTGGTGTGACCTCAGAGCTCAGTCATGCAGCAGAAATGTGGATTCCTGCAGTAACTGGAAATACAGAGGTGCTGGCCCCACCTGGCCCCACCTGTGTGGAGTTTATGCTTTTCGGGAGAGATGCGCATTGAACAAGTAACCCGCACACAGATGAAAGGGCAACAATGCTATGGATGTTCAGGGTGGCTTCGGCTATGGTGCCACCTCTGTGGTCACATTAGTATAAACTGTCAAGGTCAAATCTGCAAGACCATATATTTAGGAAAAAATAGAAGCCAGGAAGCACCAGAAAATACAAGCTAGGAAGAGCCAGCATTTCTGAGACTACATATATTTTGTAAGTTCAGTGATTATTTTTCAAGCCCAAACAGGTTCTCACAAATAATGTTTCCAGTATGTAATCTAATTTGCATGAAAAAATATTACCCAGGCTTTAAAGTTCAGTGAAATTAATTATGCATTTATGTCATCATCTTCATTTTAAAAGAACAAAATACATAAACCCTGGTTCTGCTCAGGAAAATACAAGAGTCCTGATCATTTTAATTAAAATATAGCTCTTTTGCATAGATAATTCTGTGATAGATGGACAAACGTCATCCTACAGAATAATCTTTGGAAGAAGTGACTTCACAGCATTCTTGAGAGAGTGTGACATAGCCGTAAGGAGCCCAGATTGGAGCATGAGGCCAGCAGGGCCTGGGTACCATCTCTGACACTTACTATGCATCATTGAGCAGATTTCTTAGCTTCTGAGAGTCTGATTTCTTCATCTGTAAAATGTGATAAAATGGTTCATACCTCAGAGTCCTTCTGAAGGTTAAATGAGATCATGCATGCAAAGTGCTTAGCATATTATTATGATTATTCCCCCAAGTAGTTTACATTTTAAAAGAAATAGAAAAATAAGAAATAGTGAGCGGATGGTGTGCGAGTGAGATGTTTGAAATGTGCCCAGAAGCCTGGCTCCAAAGGCCACCGATGACACTGAAGTTGGGGGAGTGGGAGGGACTCAAAAGCCCCAGTGCAGAGCCCTCAGAGGAGAGCCAAGGGCAGATGAGACAGGAGGTAAGTGGGGATACAGCTAGCTCACATGACAGAGAGCTTCGGTGTGGACAATTAAAGTGATAGTCCACCCCCAGCCTTCTTTTCCCCTGTCTGAGCACCACTGAAACCACGTGAGTGGGGACAGGAGACAATTCACAGCAACACTCCTCTCCGCTGCCACCCTGCCTGCTTGTCCTTCCCCTCGACAACAGGTGTCTGCAGCCTCAGGTACGCCCAACCTCGGCTACAGGTCACATGAAGATAAAAGCCACACGGCCCAAGGGACCTGGAAAGTATCCACAGTGGATACTTAATTAAAAAAAAAAAAAAAAAAAGCAGAGCTTTGCAGCTCTCTAGCCTTGGCGAGACGCAGTCCCTGGGTCCAGACAGCCCCAGTCCACACCTGCCCACTGCATCCCTCTGTGGCTCCTGACCCCTGCTCCAAGAGCCACCAGCAACATCCTCCCCCTTAATTCTAGAGCTGTGGAAACAGAAGGTCAAAAGAGTGAAGGGACTTGTCCAGAGTGACGGGAGGGGCAAAGCGGAGCCAGAATCAGCCAGCTTCCTGATGGCCGCTCAGGTCCTTTTCACCAACACACACTTTCTTTTTTGACTCACACACCGAAAAGATTAAAAAAGAAGTAAATTGAGTATGAAAATCAAAGGTGCCTCATCACAGGAAGAAAAAAAAACAAAACATTAAACTCAACTGTGGCACTGACCACTTGACCTCCACTGCATCTGCATTTAAACCAAACACCGGCTCCATCCACACCGACTCGAGCTACCAGTTTTTTGAACATTAAAACAAATTAAGGCAAAAAGTAATAAAGACTTCACAGTGAATGCCTAACAGATCTGCATTCAGAACCACGTTGCCAGTGCATGCACGCAATTACACTTTGGAGGAGGCTGAAACCACATTAATGAGACAGAGGGAGAAAGGAAAAATGGGAATGAATCGCAAAAAAAATTAACTACAGTGACTAAGGGATGATGTAAAGTCCAAGGATGCCAGGCATGACTGAGTGTTCTGCTCACAGAACCCCAGCATAGATCATCTGGCAGTACTTTCAAAGCGTCTATATTTGAAAATCAAAGGTCGAGTGGAGCGCTCCCTTCTTAGGCTTCTGTGTATGGAGTTCAAGGTTCACATCAACACATGTAAATTATTTCCTAAAGCACTGTACCATTCCTGCATTTGAGACACCAGCATACAGGTGAAGCACCTCAAAATTCAGTTTCACACTGTGCCGAGTTGACAGCCATCAACCCAGAAGACTGGCAGAAATCCTGTGGCCCAGAAGCCACGAAACCCACAATTCGGTGCCGTGTTTTCACCTATTCAGTCCATAAAAGGAGCATCTACAGCATCCAGAGGTCAATTGGCCAGCATTCAGCACAGACTGTTTCCTGGCCTTAGCCTCATCTGAACCACATGCCCAAAGCAGTCTCACCTCCTCCAGCTTAAACACCGACCCCACATACGGTCGGATGCGCCCTTGCTGGCAGGACTGGAGGGCCGAGGACAGGATCCTGGAGAAGACGGGGAAGTCCTGGTCTTGGTACCGACCCCAGTTCAGGCCCATGGCAGAGATGTTCTTCAGGAGCAGCAGGTTAGCTGGCACAGAGGCGATGTTTCCTCCAGCAAATCCCAGCACCACGATCCTGCCCTCCCACGCCAGGCTGAGGGGCAAAAAAGAACCATGAGATACAATAGCATCTGCCCCCATTAGGATGGCTACTGTGGGAAAAAAATAATAAGTGTGGGGAGAACGTGGAGAAACCCGAAACCCTCCCACACCATTGGTGGGATTATAAAACGTGCAAATGCTATAGAACACAATGTGAAGTTTCTTTGAAAAATTAAGAATAGGTGCAGCAATTCCACTTCCGGTATACACAAAGAAAAGTTAAAAGCAGGGTCTTTTTTTTTTTTTTTTTTACTTTTTTGGTACCAGGGATTGAACCAAGGGTTACTTAAACACTGAGCCACATCCCCAGCCCTTTTTCAAATATTTTATTTAGAAACAGGGTCTCACTAAGTTGCTGAGGCTGACTTTGAACTTATGATCCTCCTGCCTCAGTCTCTCAAGCTGCTGGAATTACAGGCTGCACCACCAAGCCCAGCAAAAGCAGGGTCTTGAGATATTCACGCACCTGTGTTCATAGCAGCACTATTCACAAATGCCAAGGCACAGAAACAAACTAAGTATTGTCCCTTGACTGGTGAATGGATGTTGAGAGCCACAGCCAAAGCGGCCCCAGCAAACTTCCAGCTGATTGGCTCACAGCGGCCCCAGCAAACTTCCAGCTGATTGGCTCCTCTATGGTGATGCTCATTGGGCTGTTTCCCCACCCTTTCAGACCACAGAGCTGCTCATTGAGGGATTCTTTTGGCTCCGCCCATGCGACCCAGGCAATCGGCCTCAAGGGCGGGAAGAGTGCCGGTTGGTGTGCTCACAGGAAGATCCGGTGGTGGCAGTTGGGCTCTCAGGGAATTCCTGAAGAGCTCCCAGGTACAGCATGTGTTCTAAAAATAAAGTTCATTCCTGCTTGATAAGTGGCTCATGAATTGTGCCCTGCCAGACTGCAGCAAATGGATAAAGAAAATTTGGATATACATATAATGGAATATTTTTTAATTTTTTTTTTTTTGGCTGTAGTTGGACACAATACCTTTATTTTATTTATTTATTTTTATGTGGTGCTGAGGATTGAACCCAGGGCCTGGCACGTGCTAAGCAAGCGCTCTACTGCTGAGCCACAACCCCAGCTCCACATATAATGGAATATTATTCAGCCTTCAAAAGGAAGGAAATCCTGTCACATGTTTAACTTGGATACCCTCTGGGACATTATGTTGAGTGAAATAAGTCAGACTCAAAAAGACAAATACTATATGATCATCTAAATGAGGTACCTGAAGTAGTTAAATTCATAGAAACAGAGAGTAGAATTGGGTTGCCAGGGTCTAGGGAGAGAAGGGAAGTGGAGAGTTGTTTAATGGGTGTAAGATTTCATATTTGCCAGACGAAAAGTTTTAGAGATCCATTGCAGAACAGTAAGAATGGACTTAACAACTGAACTGCACAAGAAAAAGAGGATAGGATGGGTAGATTTTTATCTTATATGTTCTTCACCCACAATTAAAAAAAAAAAAAAAAAGGAGAACTAACACTGTCCACCAATCCCTAGAGACAAACCATAGAAGAAATGTCTCCAGGGCCTGGGGGAAGGGGAAAGAGGCAGTGCTGACTTAATGGGTCAGAGCCTGTGATGGGGGTCACAAACCCTGTGAGCACATATAGTTACACGGAACTGTACACTTATAAATGGCTAAAATGCTAAGCATTAGATTACACACGTTTCATCACGTTAAAGAAAAAAGCAATTTGTATTAAAACCATGGCTGGGAACTTCCGTTGACCTTGTAAGTTGGAAGACATGAACCAACCCTATACTATCTTGGATTCCTTAGGAGGAAAACTTTTAAATAAGCCGTGAGCAAGATATTAGGGGAATACACTTTCACAAGGGGCCCACTTTAGGATCAAGAATCTATTTAACCTCCTTGACTCGTTTGTGGGAGGAAACTGGGCAGAAGCAAATGTCCTCCCATGGGCTATACTTCAAGACCAGCTGGAGATTTTAAACTTAGGATCAGAAATGAAAGATCACACTTTACACAACCACTTATTGTACGACTCTAGTCATGGTGCTTCTTTGATGACTTCCGAATAATTTACAAAAATTCTCAAGTTTTCTACTCACCACTATAAAAAGTACCACGCAGTGTACATACGTTACACAACAAGCCATTAAAAACAACTTCTGTAAACATCTTTGCCTTTTTGATCTTCTTCAGAAGAGAAAGGGAAGCTATTGTCAAAACACAATTATCCGAAGCAGGGCATAATGGTGCACACCTGTAACCCCAGGGACTTGGGAGGCTGAGATAGAGGCTTGCAAATCTGAGGCCAACCTGGGAAACTTAGCAAGACTCTGTCTCAAAATTTAAAAATAAGGCTGGGGGTGTAGCTTAGTGGCAGAGTGACCCTGATTCAATGCCCAGTACTAAATAAACAGACTCAATTATCCAGAGGACAAAGGGAAAAGAAGTGGGAGCTCATTTGGTCCACATTCTTCCTTTGCTTCCCCTCTAAACACAATACCAGGCACCATGCGGTGATCGTCAACATGTACGCTGCCCGCCTCTCCTCTACAGGTAGGATAATCTCTCTGCTTCTGTTTCTTTAGCTTTAAACTGAGAAAACCACAACATGATCTTTCCAGGATGACCTGAGAAATAAAACCAGCACTCCCACAATACTCCAAACACTCTGGTTGAAAACACAATGAGAACTGGTATGAAAAACAACAGACTTAGCCCCACTAAGTCTCCAGGATCATAATTTTTAATAGATCAAGGAAACCTTCAGAAGAGCCTGTCCCTTGGTTCACCGTGAACTGGGCAAAGGGAACTGCCACCCTGGGATGCCCACCCTGAACACGGCCTCCTCCGGGACCCTCCACATTCCCGCACATGCAGTAGTTAGCGGGGCCCACGGAGCGGAATTCACACATGTATAATTTCCAAAGCACTTGATGTTGCCAACTTGAGAGTCTGCAGTCATTTTTTGGATATTTTCCAGTTGGGTATTTTGTTTTCTGCTATATTTAAGATTTCCTGATTTTCTCTGCTTCTCTTCCCTGTCACCCACTCACTCGGCTATTCTCGTTGATGCTGACGCCCGAGGGGAGAAGCCAACAGCACACACGACAGAGGAGCAAGGCCAGGAGGAAGACAGGTGCGGGAAGGTCAGCTCAGGGGCCCTCTGGGTGGACCACTGCACGCACTTACCTGCGGAGGGCCTCCAGGAAGACCTCTCCTCCCACCATGTCAATGGCCACGTCCACCCCACGGCTGCCCGCCAGCCGCCTCACTGCCTCCTTCAGGCTGCCCTGGCTGTAGTTCACGCTGCTCTGCGCGCCCCTCTGCACTGCCAGCTTGCACTTGTCATCGCTTCCGGCCGCAGCGATTACCTGCACAAAGAACACAAGGTTCAGGATGGTCAGAACATGTTCCAGGAGGAGCACACGCCATCTCCCCAGCCTGCGGCCAAGGTGCAGTCACGGACACCAGCACCAGCTTGCTGCCCAAGCATCGGCCCGATCCCATGCGAGGCCCAACAAATACACTGTCCCCTCGGCCTCTCCATGCCCCACCGGCCATGGTGTCCATCTCTAGAAACTCTGGAACCCAACAGTTCTAGGTGGGAAGTAGCTCTAAAGACACTCCAAAAGTTCTCTCCAACTGCCAGTGAAAGCCACTGTCTACTGAGCACCCACCACGAGTCAGGTCACAAGGATACAAGTGGGACACCAAGCTCCATCAAGGGGATAAGGTCCAGCAGTGTGCTGGGGAGGGACACAGGGCTCCAGAAGTAAAAACAAGAGGTGTCCAATCTAGATCTAGATCAGGAAAGGCTTCCCAGAGGGTAAATCATGATTTGGTGGACAGACCTTGAAGTCAGAACTTGGTTCAAATCCTGGCTTTGCCACTTACTAGCCGTGTCACCTGGGGCAAATTAGTGAGAACTTACATACTTTGTCACCATTTGTCAAGCACCATTCCAAATGATTAACATAAATTAATAACTCATTTAATCATAATAGCCCCAAGGAAATGCTATTAATATCCCTGTTATAGACAGAAGCAAAGTAAGGGAAACCAGCTGTCTGAGGAAGGTCACACAGCCAACAGGAGGCACAACTGGGATCCACACCCCGGGAACCGTCTCCAGAGTCCTCACATCTAACCTGTGCAGCCTGTCTGCTTCTCCAGGTCTCAGTTACTGCATGGGTTGTTTTTTTTTTTCTTAAAGACTTATTTTTAAAATTAAATGGAACATTGTGCATAAGGCACTTGGAAAACAAAGTGTGAGATAAATCGCTTCTGTTGTTACATGCAGGCAACCACGTATTCTTCTTAAGCCTCAGAAGAACTTTATGGAGGAAGTAGAATTACTTCACTCTATGGGCAGAAATAGGGACTCAGGGAGGGTCAATAATCAAGCAGGGTCATCCAGGAAGAAGATGGTAGAACAACTCAAAGTCAGGCCTTTCTTCAAAGCCCAGGCTTCCTACTCCATCATCCTAGGAGAAAATGGTACGTAAGGCCCAACATGGACAGCCAAGATGGCTGAGGGCCCTTTGCAGGAATTTCCAAAAGAGCTGCAAATAGTCAAGCATCAGCTACAGGTACCTCATCAGTGAGCAAGGCCACCAGCCTGACTACCTCACCCTCCAAATAATGCCCAGGACCTGCACAAACACCCCAAGAATATGGATGCCCTTAAAGAATTCCAAACTCACCTGTAACTATTGGAAACTAGAAGCTACCCTCAAAAGTTCCCTGGTAGTCTCCTCAAAATAGCACAGTTCACTGGGGGCTACGTGTGCACACTAGACTAGGGTCAGGCACCCGATTTCCATCCCAAGACTCTCACTGGGACTCCATGACACATGCAGTGAATTCTTTTCTCTCTTGGTGGCTCCTTCTCTTCATCTGTGAAACAGGGATAATAAACACTTATATTACCCCTCTCTCTGGGGTTTTCGAGTGTCAAGGGTAAGACAATTGCTGTGGAGGCACTCTGGGTGCATATGAAATGCTGTGGATGGAAGGTGTTATCAAAGCGACCTCTTCCAAGCAGGTGGTGTGGCAACATTGCTTTTACTTTTATTTTTGCTTACTTCTGTTGAGAACCATTCTCGCCGTGAAAGAAAATATAGCTCAGATTGATTTCAATATCTGAATTAAATCAATTTTTTTTCTATTTAATCTCTCAGAACTATTTGAAACAAATGGTATACAATTTCATCTTCCTAGAAATGTTAAATCATGGATGACTCTAGACAACGAGACTAATTACGGTCTCTCCCCTAAGAGGAGCTAAACACCCTTCCTGCTCACACAGGATGTGTTCACATTTCAAGAGCCTCAAACTAGTATCCAAGATTGCTCTCCAGATGCACAGGTCCTTCCCAAAGGAACTTCATAGGAAAGGAGAGACACCACCTAAAGAAGCTCCAGTCCAATCCAATTACTTCCAAATTTGTCTAACTGCTACCTCAATATTCCAATCACATGCTCCACGGGAGCCTTGCACTCAACACACCCAAACCGAACTCCCCATTTCCTTCAGGGTTCTCAGGCGCTTTTGTGGCAAGCCCACACGCTAACCTACTTTGCTCCTTCCCACTGAATGCCTAATAATATTTCTTATTAGACATTCATTAGGATTCATTTTTAAAAGATTCTTAATGACAGGCCACACCTTCAGATAGGAGCACTGCACGTGTCATTCTCAATATTCCCACAGTTATTTTATAAAAGAGGAAACGGATGCTATTAAGAGCTGGAATGAGAACCTCCAGGGGGCCACCTTTGAAAGCTTTTGTTCTTGGACTCCTTGGATGCTCTCTAGTCACCAATCTGTTTTTTCCCACTTGAGTACGACTCACTTCATGACCTCCACTGCCTGGGTTATTCCAGAAGCCCACCTGCTCCCTGCCTCCATTACCTCTGACCTCGTCCCATCCCTCCTCCCCATGGCTACCAAGTAAAATGCAAAGATGATCCTGTCGCTTCCTTACCCGAAATTCTCAATAGCTCCCAACAGCTTCCAATAAACGTTCAAAGTTTTCAGTTCCGTGCTAGCTCAGACCTCCTCTCCGCCCACGTTGCTAGAGTCACCTTCCACCACCCCACCCCAAGTCCTTAGTTTGCGATTCTCTAAAATGTATGGTGCCAGTTCCTACTTCTTGATCTTCTAAAAATGTCCCCCACCACTAGGATAAGGCTCTTCCTCCATTCTTCCTCTATTCAACTGCTGCCAGACCTCTGGAAGTTGTCTTAAACGTCTCCCTCCTCCAAAAAGCACTCCTTCTCTGATACCCGCAGCCTCAGAGAGATGCCCCTATGGAAACTGGATTCCTTCCTTCATTCTTTTCTCGATTCATTCATTGTTCATTCATTCAAAAAAATAGTTCCTGAATGCTTACCAAGTTCCAAGTACCACGTGAGGTACTAGTGCACAGTGATGAACCACACAGACACTTCCCTGCCTTCTTGGGGTTACAGTCCGGTAGGAAGAGACATTAATCCAATAATAACATGAGAAAAGGTAACCATGCAGTGAGGTGTGTATGAAGAAAGAGAAGTGCAGGGTGTAGTGAGATCACAAACAGTGGGGACAGGAGCCTGACCCAGCCTGAGGACAGAGAATACTTCTCTGAAAAGATAACACATGAGTTTAGATCTGAATTGCAGGGGGGGATGATAGGTAGAGAAGATAGCATCTGCAAGGCAGCCCTCGCCAGGTTCCAGTAATTGAAAGGACAAGCAATGTACTACTAGGCTGCTCACCAGGCTAAGCAAACAGATGGCCAGACCCCACTCCCAATTGCTTGATCTCCTCAGTGCACTGCATATGATTTTTAATAAGTTAAGGAATATATCCCATGTCTAAAACTGAAGGTAGGTTTTTTTCATTTTGTTTAATTTTGGTTTTGATTTTTATTTATTATTTATTTTTTAGTTGTAGTTGGACACAATACCTTTATTTATTTTTATGTGGTGCTGAGGATCAAATCCAGGGTGCACGCACATGCTAGGCGAGCGCTCTACCACTGAGCCACAACCCCAGCCCTGTTTTGTTTTGTTTTAAAGTAAAGGCTCCAACATGTAAATACCTTGGCCTGAAGAACATTTGTTGCCACATCTATCACTGCAAGGCCCGTGGCTCCAGCTGCTGCAGTTACTAAAACAGTTTCTCTGTGCCAAAGAAAGATGAGTGTTACTACAGACACCTTCAAGACTCGTCCAGTAATGACTTCAGGAACGTTCTGGAACTAAACATTTTAAAGCAAGAACATTAAGAGAGCATTTCATTCAAACCTTCCTATACATATGTTCCCCAGCCTTGAGGAGTGGATTACGTATGTGACTTTTAGATCAGTGCTAATCTGATCCAGTTCTGAAGATTCCCCAGGAAAAAGATTCCCCAGTCTCTCTAGGTCGCCTCCCCTACTCCTGTCAGGGGCAACTGCTCATTTGAGCAACCAGTCCAATATATGCTTCAGAAACTCTGCCCTGAAATCATGCTCATATACTAAACACTGCCCAATTTGATGAGGGTCAAGTCATGGCTACCACTCACTCAGACCCACCAGTCAGGAGCAGTTCTGAGGGTCAGCTCTCTGAAAAGATCAAGAGGCAGCTTCCCAGGTAACACCAGAAATTTCAGCACTGGAGTCTAAAATACTCCACTTGGCACACAGCACCCAGCCTTACACCCCCACGGGCTTCCAGTAAACCCCTGTGAAGTGAGTTTAAACAAACCAACTCTCCCAATTCTAAGGTTTTCTTTGAAGTGCTCTTACACTCAGGTTTAAGAAAGCTGTGCTTCCAAATTCACACCGGCCAAGTTCACCATCTACCATTCCCTCTCAAAATGATGCCCTCACAGTCACCATACCACAGTGTCCAGTGGTTACCTCCTTTGGCCTTTTCCTCAGCCAAAGAGAAGATGAGCTGAAGGAAAGGGAGAGGAAAGGAAAGAAGGGGCGGGAAGGAGAGAGAAGGGAAGGGACTGGGGAAGGTCCAACCCCCTACTGGCTACACAGTCCTTACCCAGGCTGGGTATGGGCCCGATGCTCTAGAGCCAAAATAGCAGTGCCATAAGACACAGGTAGGACAGCAGCTTCTTGCAGGGAGACCTTTTCTGGAACCCGCCACAAGGTCTATAAAGAGATAACAGTGGCTTAGGGATTAGGCACATGTACCTGCAAAGGCTACTCAGGAAATGCTGTGGTTGGAGTGACTGACTTGAAATGGGAATAACCAGTGGAAGTCAACACCAGAGTCCAGGACTTGGTGCATCAGACCTCAAAACCCTAAGGCTGGCACCTAGCTCAAAAAGAGCCAATTTATAGAGAACAGACCACAACTCGCTGTACTGTAATAGGTGAATTGTACGGTACATAAATTTCACCTCAATAAAGCCACGGCGGGGGATCGTGTACTATACACCATTTGGGGGCACTATCCACATCTTGCTCCACCACACAAGGCCACCATGGCTGGCTGCGTTCCCAGGGCTATCTCTTTCATAAGCTTTGTGGGGGGAAGATGCCCATTATAGCCAGCTCAATGCACCCAACCAGTTTTTCTACCAAAACTACCTATGTTCCAACTGGACTGCCAGCCAATTGCTCAGGCACTCCAGAAACAAAGTGCCCTTCTTCATGAAAACACTCCACACAAACAAAGCTCTGTGCAAGGGTTGTCAAACCAATAAAGAGAAGGGATTTAGCACTGGAGGAAAAAAAATAAAAGTAGTTGGCTGAGAAACAAGACCAAACAAATGCAAAGAAATGGAGAGTGAGGAAGATGAGGAAGGGGTGGAAATTAAAGGAAACAAAGGAGGAAAACCCTCCAACCCTCCAAGCATTGATCTGGAGAGAGGGCTACCTTCTGGTCAACGATGCATTCTTCAGCCATCCCATTAAAGCCACTCACACCAATGACTCGATCTCCCTGAACGGAAAACAACATCAGGGTATGTTCAAATGCATGGCCTTACATTCACCTCTTCCTGAATCAAAGTATAAAAGAAAAATGCCCATCTCTGGCCCACAAGACACAGGCTGGCCTTCCTGTCTATTCAGAGTTAATGTTTAGTAAATAAAACAACAGCTCTCTCAATGCTGCCACCCAGTTGCCAAGCCAAGCTGAGCACATTCTGGACAAGAATGGGGTATGGTAAAGAAAAGGTGGGTATGAATTAGAATCCCCGTGTGAACGTCTTTCACGTGAGGCTCAAACTTGAGAATTCATAATGAAGAGTTTAATGAAGCCAGAAACTTCCACCCAACTCCTTCCCCCCAGTTCAGAACTCTCTCTGTTTTCTTACAGTGTCTGCTGACAAAGGCCAGGAGAAGCAAGACCTTTGGGGCACAAATGAGATTAGCACATTTCTCATAGCTACATACACAGCCGATTCTCTGGATTTCGACTCATTTACCTCTTTCACTGAGCTGACATCCGCGCCTGTCTCCAGTACTGTCCCGGAGAACTCCATTCCTAAAACATGGTTGAAAGATTAGGTTATCTGTAAAACTCAGCCCCATGGCATTGAGAAGACCTTGATTATCAGGCCATCCATCAGCTTTTAGGAACTGGTAAGGTCTTAAGTACTATTACTTTTACCTAGCAGTGTGAAAAGCATACTCAAAGCATGGGAAAGTGAGCATGAGATGTCATTATCACACCCTGGAAACCTGTGGCAGTCCCAGGCTTGACTGTGATGTGGAAAGCACAGAGTGTCAGTATCGCAGGTACACAGCAACTTCTGACCCTGATCACTGGGGCCTCAGGCTCCTAGAGCTCCCAGTTACCGTGTTTATCATATCTTATTTATCTGTTTCTACGTCTCCTTTGCTGGTGTGTGGCCCTCCAGGACATGAACTGTTTATTCAGACAACACTGGCTCAACTGGATGAATCAGTGTTGCGTGCCCTTTCTTCTCCCACATCTGATATTTCTGAATTTAATGATCATGCATTTCCTACCTGACCTGCCAGGAAATAACTCAATTGTGTATGACATCTTTCCCCTATTCAGCATTTTAGCTAATACCAACAAAAGGAAATGGTTCCAAATGTTAAGGCAAAATCCAATACCTTCAGACCGAAACATGGCAACTATTTTGCAATCACTGAACTCTTAATAATATGTATATACATAAGATAGATGTAAATAGGCTAAGCTCTACCCGTAACTCTTTAAATCAACTTGAACAACAAAAATCAGTCATTGTCCATATGTAGGATCTAGAAGTAATGAGATTGGGAATCGTGAAAATCAGACACTAGGCCACTAAGCAGGGTAAACTGTTTTTCTTCTTTTTGATCCTCTCGCATTAGGTTGAAAGTCTTAGATGCTTGTGTCATTCAATGAAAAAAACAAGAGGCACTGTCAAGGAAGGGATGAGAATGATGAGGGGAATCAATGTTTCTCATGAGCAGAATTCTGGTGGACATAATGACGTGTAAACATTCATTTGTTCATTTGTTCATTTTAAATAAATGAACTGAGCATCTACTCTGAGCCAGGTACACAATGGTCCCTAAGCTAGGGACACAATGTTGAGCAAGACAGATATAGAAACTACCCTGGGGGGGGGGTACACTCTAGTGGTTTCAGCAATGATGCTGACATATCTTAACAGAACCTCACCAAGGACAGGCAAACACCACAAGAGCAGTGTCTGGGAAGATGCATGGGGTTCTGAAAACCCTCCGAATCTTCTCTTCTTGAGGCAGCAGTCCCCCATACTCACCAGGTGTGAAGGGAAGAGGGGGCTTCTCCTGATATTGGCCACGACAGACCAAAATGTCAGCAAAGTTGACTCCACAGAAATGGACCTCAACTCTGACCTGCAAAGGGAACAAAGCAGCAAAACAGAGCAGGACACATTCTGGAGACAAAGTTCACTTGATTATTCAAACAGATTTACTGAAGAAATAAAAGCTGTATGCAGGCACTGAGCCAGAGGACAATCACGAGGTGAAACAGACAAGTTTCTGCCTTCAGGGAGCAAAAAGGATAGTAAAGAAGACATGAGGATGATATTGTTATATTGTGTGCATGTATGAATATGTAACAACAAATCCCACCATCATGTACAACTATAATTCACTCATTTAAAATGTGGGGAAAAAAACATATGAGACAAAATCATAATGAAGCCATGTGTCAAATCATAACTCAACACAAAGTGTTAAAAGGAATAATATGTAATGCTGAGAAAGTCTATACTGGCAGGATTTGACTTCTTGGGGAAATCAAGAAAATTTTAAAAAAATAATCCTTGAGCTAATTAACAACTCAGAGTTAACTGTTCAAAGCAGGAGGAAAAAAGGTTGGCAAAACAAAAGCAATGACTTGTGCAAAGGGCCTGCATCAGAGACAAAAAACAGCAAACTTAGAGCACAAAGAGTTGGAGGGAAGCATAGAAAGGGAAGAAAAAGGAAGAGAGAAAAAAAGACCACACCACACAAATGTTTGAAGGTTTATATTGAGGATTTCGGCCTTCGTTCTAAGAGCAGCAGAAAACCATTAAAATGTCTGAATAGAAAATTAACACGACAGCCTATCCTATCATGTCAGAATCTGGAATCCTGGAGGCTGGCCTACACACACACACACACCCTCCTGTCTTCTATGGCAGCCCCATAACTGAGGCAGAACTACAGGGGCGAGCCAGTGGTTCTCAAAAGGTGGCTCAGGGCCACCAGCATCAACATCACCTGGAAACCTGTCAGAAATTCCTATTCTTAGGCCCCATCCCCAGATCCTGCCAAAGCAGAGACTCTGGAGACAAAGCCCAGCAATCTGTTTTAACAAGCCCCAGGTGGTTCTGATGCACCCTGGGGAACTACTGTGGTAGGCAACACATCCCAACAGGGGTTGGAAACGGAGGAGGAAATGAAGGCTGAGACACCAAATCAATATGTATCTGTGTGTTTAAATTTAGCACAGAGGTTGCCCTATTGGTGAGAAGACATTTTTATCTTCAAAAAAAAAAATTCATTCATTCAGCAATCTAAGCATCTGCCACATGCCAAGCACCATTCTACAGTAAAGAGATTTAATGGTGGATAAAAATAACATAATTGCAGGTCTCATGAGCTAATGCCTTACAAAGTAATGTCTGGACAAACAGAACAAAGGAACCCAGCCCTCAGCCTGCACACACTGCGTGCATGACACATTAGTTATTGACAAGCATCCTGCACACGTGCTCCTCAAAGCCACTCCACATTGATCTGAGACTGACCCAAGGATGAGCTCTCTCAGCATGAGAATCCCAGGAAGCAGTCTGGCTGCCATCTCCGGATCCTCCAAATAATCCATTTAGCCGCAGGCTCCACCTTAGAGTCGCTTCAGCCCTGCAGCTGCCTTTCTCCCCCCTACTCGTGGTCCCCAGACACTGAGGCTCACCACTGGTTTCCCCCTGGCACAGATTCTCATGCTCCACAGTAGTAACATTATGTTACCAGAATGGCCAACAGGCAAGGCCAAAGAGACTTCCACATTTCAGTGAAACTGCCCTCCGGCCTTAACTAATCCATCCCAAATCACTGCAGTACCCCAGAGAGGAGCAGAAGGGTTTGGGGTAGATGGAAGGGCAGTTAATTTGACAGGACACTGAAAAGGAACAAAGGACAAGAGAGAGTCCGTTTATCTGTTACATCAGTAACTGGCAGGTGTTTGTGCAGTCGTGCAAATCAGTTTTCTGTTTCTAAGGAAACAGATGTGGAATCTTCAGAAAGAGGCCTACACGTGTGTTCTGGGGAACAATCTTCCTTAGGGCTTTGACCCTTTCGTGAACCTTGCAGGGCTTGACCTTCTAGCCCTGGGACCAAGCTGCGCTGCAGTCTCTCGGTCGCCCCCTAGCTTGGGAACTGGGAACCTGACTCAGGCAGGGCGCTTGCCGTGTGTCACGGGGTCCCAGGGACTGGCCAGCCACCCTACCTCGTGAGGTCGGACAGGGCGGCGGGCCACCTCTTCTATGGCCAGAGGCTGCTTCAGCTCGGCGCAAAGCGCGGCGCGGTAGTGCCGGCCACAGCCCTGCCCAGCTCTCCTGCATCAGGGAACAGGGGCTGGTCACTCAGGCCGCCCTCGGGCGCACCCCGGGGCTGCCTGTAGGGTGGGGGAGTCAGCACGGCACCTGCAGAGCCACGTCCGAGGGAGTGACCGTCTGCAAAGCAGCGCCGCCATGGCCCGCAGACTGGACGCTAGAGGGAGTGGCCAGAGCGCTGCAGGAAGACCGGACACTGCGGCCACGCCCCGCCCCGGGAGCGGAAGGCGTCCGGGACACGCCCCGCGCCCGCCGGGACTCCAGCGGGCGGGGCGGTGGCCGTGGCTCCGCAGTTTTCCGCCTGTAGCTGGGGCGTCCTAGTCCCTTCTTCCCCCAGGCCTCCCTGAACTTGGAGCCCGCCAGAGGGGAAAATGGAAAAAACGAGCAGAAGAGTTCGGTCATCCTTCGTTGTCATTTTCGTTGCAGATTTGGGAGAATTTTTAAAATCACATTTGGCAACAGTTAATTAGCGATTCTTGGGTCCTCTGCACGAAAGAAATCCCAAATTCACAGCTGCGCGCGCTGCCGCACGCCCGCGATCCCAATTATGGGGATTGCTGAGGTTGAAGCAGAAGGATTGCAATTTTGAGGCCAGTCTCAGCAATTAAGCGAGACTCTATCTCAAAAATAAAATTTTAAAAAGGGGTGAGGATATAGCTCAGAGACAGAACACTTCTAACGTTGATTCTCCAGTACCACAAAAGATAAGGAAACTCTGAATTCATAGGTAAAGCCTTTGATGTTTGCATTCCAACACCTTGCTAGGGTTCAATTCTTGTTACTTATTTTCTCACACAGGATCAATTACACTAAAACTTAACTGTTACTAATGATCAGATATTGAATAAACCTACACAAATTCAAAGAATATTACCAATTAATGTCAGGCTAAAATCTAGAGATTTTCACGTTCCCAAAGCCTATGTCTGCACTTAGTAGACGCTCAGTAAATATTGATTCAGTGACCACCTAGATGAAGAGGCACACTCTTGGAAACTAAAACAAAAGCATTATCTGTGAAGTATTAAAATTAAGTGGACCTCTGTTCTAACAGTAATCAACTATTTATATATTAGCAATATATAAAAGGCACATGCTTATCACTAGACTAGCATTTAAAGATAGCATGTCTTTAAAAGACATCTGGTCAAAGGGTATATGGATGGTAGGTTCAGGTTCAAATCCAGCTCTCTATTTGTGTGGTTTTGGCATTGACCCTTGGTGATTTTGGTGGGGGGATGGGGAGGGACCAGGGGTACTGGTGATTGAACCCAGGATTTGCTTTACCACTTAACTACATTCCTAGCCCTTTATATTTTTTATCTGGAGACAAGGTATTGCTACTTTGTTAAGACTGGCCTTGAACTTGGGATCCTCCCAGGCTGCTAGATTTCTGGACATATGCAATAGCATCTGGCTACCCTCTGTGACTCTTGATGACCTCAGTAACTCTTCCATGAAAGGATGCACTGGGGTTGTAGCTCAGTGGTACAGCGCTTGCCTCAAATGCATGAGGCCCTGGGTTTGGTCCCCAGCACCACATAAAACATAAGTAAACCAATAAAAATAATGTGTCCATCTACAACTAAAAAAAATAAAGAAAAAGGATGCACTGGGCAGGCATGATCAGGAATGGACTAAAGGAAAAAGGTCACAAATGAAGGAGAAATGACTTCCAAAGATTATGGCCTAAAGGCTTTGAGGGCAGTGAATCTAAGAGCAAGTACCCACTTTGGTTATATAGTAGGAGTTATTTTTATTTTAAAAGCACTCCCAGGGAGTTTGAGGAGTCATTTTAACCTCCGCTGCAAGAGAAAAGAAACAGTGACTAGAGGTGAGATGAAAAACACTTCAGTTCACAATTCAACATGAAAGCATTTTCATTTTGTAAACTGTTAATCATTAAGCACCTGAAATGAAACCAGGGAGTTGGGTTTGTGGCTCAGTGACAGAACCCTTTCCTAGCACACCTGAGGCCTTGGGTTCCATCCACGGCATGGTAGAATGGAGAAATCAGGAGGAATAATGGAAACATACTAACACTGTCAAATCAAAATGAACATCCTTGGGTTGGGGTGTAGCTCAGTGGCCGAACACTTGCCTAGCATATGTGAGGCCCTGAGTTCAGAACCTAAGGCCCCAGCATTCTGGTATCCAAACAATGAGCAACAAGAAATCTCAACTTTATGACCTATGAAACTACAGTTGATTGTTCTAAGAATGAAATGAGTTGTTACTTATGGAAAGTGTTTTGTGAAATATTTAGATATATTAATACCTTATTAAGAATGTTAATATAAGGATAAAGCAAGAATATTTAATTGAGCTCCTTAAAAGCAGCAACTATTTCTTAATCTCCTGTATGTTTATAGTATTTGCATAATACCTGACACTTTTAGGCATTTAATAGATATTCTCTTATGAAGTGTTAATGAGTGTTCAATTACCTAGTATTAATTTTCCAGATAATTGGAGGTATCTTTAAGCATCAAGTCTTTTATTTTTAATTAAATGTTTTTATAGAAAAAACATGATTTTCAGAATAAACTTCTCATTCTCTGGGAATGTGAAAGATCAATATGCGTGGAAAAAAAAATCAATACTTCATTCTACATTTATGAAAATATCTGAAGAACATAGTAAAAATCCCTTTAAAAAGGATCTTGAAGGGAGATGAAAGTATTTTAAGTAATTGAGGTGATTTAAGCATTTATATGCAAAACAAATTTCACAGTTTCAAAGAGCAGTCCAAGGCAAGTGACAAGGTATTTAATAGTAGTTGCTATAGTAGCAAAAGAAATATTTAGCTTATCCATCAAAGTGCTGCCACCACACCTGACTGCCTACTTTTGGTCATTGTTCCTGGCTATTTGGTTTTATTGAGGGATGGAAAGTGGAGACAGAACAAATAAAATTTGAATTCTGGAAGGAACTAAGCTCAAGCAGCTACATCAGGACTGATCAGTTCTCTGGAAAGGAAAAAAAAAAGTAAAAAGGGATCAATAGCCGCCCTGCAAACCAGCTTGAGGGCTCATTAAGGAAGTAAAAGAGTAACAGATGAGTCTTCCTTCTGGTACAACTCACATGGAGAGATAATATTTAACATCCAGAAGCTGCTGGAGGGCGGAGGGTGGAGAAGCCAGCCAAAGCTGAATACACAAACAGCTATGTTTTCACAGAATAGTAGACAAACGACACAGAAACAATATAAGCACCATACAGAACCGCACTGGGAATGTGCACGTATCCTCGACCATTAAATCCTTCACCAGTAGAAGCTCAGCTCCTTCAGAAGAGAAGCTATCTCCATAGCCTCCCAGTTCACCGTGGAGACTAGCACACAGCAGGTACTCAGTAGTGGTTAGGAAGGTTAGGAAGCAAGGAGCCCTAAAAACTGTAGAGGAGAGGTGTCAGTGCTACGTAACTATCCAAAGCCACAAATCCAAAAAACTGCTGAGGTTTCTTACACTTATTTCCTTAAATTTACAGTCACTGAGCATAATCTGATCTTCCTTTGATCTAAGTCAGTATTGCCATTGGAGGCAATATTTTTTAACTTCAGAGACATATTTTAGCCATTGATCTACATAATAATGCCTATTGACCTACCTTCTCCATTCCAGGAACCGTAAGATTTGCTGCGAGTTATTTGTTCCAATAGTCACGGATTCAGAATTTCTGAGTTGGGTTGGATCTTCAAGATCATCTAGTCAAAGTGCTTCATTTAAAAAGAAAGGAAGGAAGGAAAGAAAAAGCAAAGGCTCAGAGAGAGAGAGAAGAGAAAGTAGGGACAGGGGTTGCCCAAGATCACGCTGCTAGATGGTAGCAGATGTGGCATTAGATTAATTAATATTGGACTGTTTTTTAATTTTTAGTTCCCTGCTCTTTCTACCATGCTTGTTGGATCTCACTCCTCAGCAGTGTACTCAAGAATAATATTTCGTGTTTTCACAGTGTTTCAGAGGTTTCAAATCACTGTCACCAAATTCCTTCATCCTGCTAATGATGAGAGTAATAATAATTGTCATCACAACTAGCACCTGTGGTTACAAGCCAGTTAGTTATGGAGTACTTTTGCATGATTTCTTTAATCCTCACAAAGCTCCTATAACTAGGATACTATTTTTTTCACCCTCTTATAGATCAGGAATATACGCTTAAGGAGGTTAAGTAACTTGCCGAAGGCCACACAGCTAGGAAATGGATCAGTTTAGCATCATCCTAATTGCCTGGTGCCAGAGCTCCTCCAACAGTATCCGGCCGCCCACTGTGCTTCCCTCACAAATGCCCTCCGGAGCAGACAAAGAAGGTATTATACAATACATTTTAAAGCCTTTCTTTCCTTGTAGGTTTAAGCTTAATTTTCTGGGAATTTTACAGTCACTCATGCCTAGAAAATAGATTAATTCCCTGAAGGAGAGAATGGAGAAAGCCGTCTCCAGGGAGGCTCCCAGTGAAGGGACAAGGGCAGGAAGAGTTGCTAACACATAATTAGGAGCTCCTGACCCATTCCATATAGCCATGAGCCTGAAAGTGCATTGATTTCACTTAAATTTAAAGTATATTATATGAGATTAAAAATGTGATTATGTAAAGTAGTTTTCACATATGCACACGCACACAAATATGATTTTAATGAACCAATATGCTGACTCGGTTGCCTGGTTACTAGTTGTCACTTATGCAGGTACCAGCAGGCATTTGGAGCTAAAATTCTGGCACCCAGATGGGACAATTTGGAAACGGTGGTGACCTGGGGAATGGCTGTGGTGGCCCTAAAGCTAACCACCAGTATTTGATGCAGGAAACTATTTTCTACCTTGAACCTTCATTTTGGAACCAGTTCACAAATCCCTAAGCATTCTGGCAACTTTATGAACCCTTTCCAGCTCTCACCTCCCCCAGAGGGAACAAATTCTTCCCTTCCATATGTCCCCAAGAGAACTTTATACAAACCTGTATTAGCTCACTAATTGTTCAGGTAGCATTCATCTGTTATCTCTATCTCCACAGCTAAGCTGTGAGCATCATGGATGGCTCCGAGGATAGCATACCAAAGCAAAAGGAATTTGGGCTGCAGAATCAGATATACCTACATTCAAGCCCTGGCTTAGCTACCTATTCTTGTGATCTTGGGAAAATTATTTCTGAGAACCTCCATTTCCTCATCTGTAAAACAGGCATAGTAATCCCCATCTTGCTTGGTGGTGGTGAGGA